ACAAGATCACAAAGAAAAAACAGTTTCTTGCCATTTTAACCAGAAAGGACACTCTCTCAATGACTTAACCACCTGCATTCTGCTACAAAGACCTTTTACATCTGCACTTGAAAGGGAATCCTCTGAACTGTCATTCATGTTAAAATTCGACACTGTCCGGGAAGGAATGAACAAACACTCAAACTATTTTACCCATTACCAAGATAGAGGTGATAATTGGGGAAGCTAATACCATTAGCTCACAGACATCCCACTCTCCCCACCTCTAATATCATCAATTCACAGACACTTACCTTCCTTCCTCCCCCCCCACCCTGCATCCCCCTCCTGTTCTGAAATGTGATTTGTCCTTTTCATATGTGTTCATTTTTTTAAATTGTATCCTTTGGTATATATGGTTGTGACTATTTTCTTCCACTATTTGATCTGAGGAAGTGGGTCTGGCCCACGAAAGCTCATCATCTAATAAACCATCTTGTTAGTCTTTAAAGTGCTATATTGTCCTGCATTTTGCTTCAGCTACCCCAGACTAACACGGCTACATTTCTATCACTAGGAGCAGGTTTTCTTCTCCCACTACTGATCAAAGTTGACAGACATGGTCCAAAGTACAGCCCTGTCTGATCCTGCTTATGTGTCCCCTGCCCCCAGCCTGTGGCAAAGTCCAGTCAGAATAAGGAAATGGGGGAAAAAAAGTGACACAGAGAAGAAGTCTTCAGCTGGGAGTTTTTTACTCTTCACCCAGCAATTCTAGGTGTGTAAACATAGCAGTGTATTTCCATTCAGACACCCCCATTCTCTAAGTAAATAAGGGTGTTTGCTGCTCCTTGCTGATTGGAAGGTCTAATGTACACTTTAGATCACATAAAACATGTGTAACACCAGGATGGTGGGCAAGAAAAGGGGTCCAGGACTCGAAAGGAGCCCCAGTGGTGGCAAATCTCCTGGAGACTCTGGCTCTCAACTTCTAGCTCACTCCATGTGAGCATGGGATTACGCCCACCTATTGGCTATTACAGAGAACATATTTCTGTACTGTAAGATTGCAAACTAGTTGTAATATCCAGAAACAGATGAGCAGGTTTAAAAACACACCAGTAGCGTACATGGGACCAGCACGGGTATTATTCAACAGCTTTGGTACGGAACGTGGAAGATACCTGCAAGCAGCTGTTCAGTTTCATTTGCCTTGAGGGGCACTTTCATGGTGCAGGATTCATCTTCTGCACCAAGCACCACCTGGCCTCCCTCATATGCTAGGTCTGGGTAGGCCCACGCAGCCAGCTCTGAGGCTAGAAGACACGGAGGACTGATAGTGATAGTCCAGTAAATGATTTACAGTGTTGCTTGTGTAGCTCCTGTGCGAGTTGTCACTCCTGGTGTCAGGCTGCTCTTATCAGACGCTTGAATGTTTTTTTTAAACCGATGATAAGCCTCACTCCTGCTTGGGTTTCCCCTCCATCCAGCACAAGCCCCATTAGTAAGAGCCAGCTGCTGTCAGCACTGCTTGGGCTGTAGAGAAAGCACAGGGCTCCTTCCGGGAAACAAACAGTGCAGCAGCTGCTTGTAGCCAGCCTGCAAGAGGTGCTGACCACCACTTATCACCATGTCCCTGTCACAGAACACATTGCCCTCCCACCAGTGCTGGGAGCCCCTCCAGGACTCCGGCCAGGGGAAATTCTGATGAACAGCAGGGGTCTAATCTTCAAGCTCCTTGCTAACAAGCCGCTGTGCAAGACTGGAGGAGGAGAAAGGATGGCCTGAGGCCAACGTACAGATCTGGGGGGCTGAAGACCTAGGTTCCCCCCCAACCTCTGCTGCAGACATCTGCATGTATAACCCACACACCAACTGTGGTTCTCTGTCCCATGGAGTGGCACTTAGACTACTTACAGCCAGAGATAAGAACAAGGAAGCTCTACAGCCGAGGCTGAGCGCCAGCTGGCTTTTAGCTCAAGCAGTAGTGGCTCCTACTCTAAGCTCCCCAGGTTCCCATCTGCCTGGTGGTGGTTGTTACACATGACCAAATGTCTTATGATTGTCAGAAGGGTCAAGTGCTAGCAGTTCCCATTAACCTTAATAGGCCTCATGCATGCTCAGCATGGGGGAATAGAAAGCAGGTTATTGCCAGCCATGCTGGTTTCCGTATGTGTAACATGGCTCTATGCATATTTATCTCCCACGGAGGCAGTGAGGGATAATTCACCATTTATAACTACATGGCGCAGAAGATGGGCTGTAAGTGCAGTGTTATTTAGAGGGCAGGTTACATCTAATGCAGCAGCCCTGGGATGACCCTATGAGGCATATTCTACACCCGTAGGTCTCAACCAGCTGTCTGGGGATCCTCCAGTGCCCGTGAGCAGATTTCAGGTGGCCCAGCCAGCAGGGCCAAAGATGGACTCACTTAGGCCCAGGGTTCCACAGCCTGGAGCTACAGCCCAAGAACCTGAGCCATGCGAGAAAGAGCTGAAGCATGAGCAACTTAGCTCCATAGGGCCCAGGCCTTGGAAAATTGCCCTGCTTGCTAATAGTGGCCCTGGCTTTTCTAGATAGAGAAACAGGTGGTGGGGCCTCAGAACTAGAGGCCAAGAACCCTTGTTCTACATAGATTGTCGGATGAGAGGCAACATCGCTGAATTCAGAATGGGATAAACACCGGGGGAGAAGCAACCGGAACACAGCAATTTGGGCAGGAGTGCACCGATTAGCACCAAGTAACTTAAACTAGCTGCTTACAGCTACACTACCCTACCACTTGGACAGCTCCCCAGCCACAATTGAGCCACCTCCATTTTGACAGAGGCTTTCATATCACTCTCAGATAAGCTTTATGACTGAGAACCTCAGACACTGACCTGAATAGTCAAACATCTCGCAGTGAGTCACCTGTTGTATTTCACCTCAGTTCATCAAGCGTTCGTGAGCACAGTTCTGGCTGGTACAAGTGGGCAGGCAGCATCTTGGTGCACTACATTAGTACCTCAGAGTCCATCCCGTAATACACGCATACGTGGTTGGCTCCAGAAAAGTGATACAGTTGGGCTACATCTAGACTGGCATGATTTTCTGCAAATGCTTTTAACAGAAAAGTTTCCCGTTAAAAGGATTTGTGGAAAAGAGCTTCTAGATTGGCATGGCTGCTTTTCCGTAAAAGCACTTTTTGCAGAAAAGCGTCCGTGCCAATCTAGTCACGCTTTTGCGTAAAAGGGCCAATGTATACAGCTCAGATTTGTTTTGTGCAAAAAAGCTCAGATCGTGAAAATGGCGATCGGGGCTTTTTTGCGCAAAACAAATCTGAGCTGTCTACACTGGGCCTTTTGTGCAGCATAGTATTTCCTCAAGAAGCACTGATTTCTTACATGAGATCATCAGTGTTCTTGCAGAAATTCAAGCAGCCAGTGTAGACAGCTGGCAAGTTTTTCCGCAAAAGCAGCTGCTTTTGCAGAAAAACTTGCCAGTCTAGACACAGCCTTGAAGTGCAACAGAAGCTGTAAAGTTACATTGAGTTGTACCCTAGCCTACGCGCTCCTTTTCTGGGGCTGGCCTCTACTTCAAAGCACAGAAATGGTGATCGTTTCAGCCTGACACCACTGTAGCGGGACTCAGATGGTCAGCCAGTCTTCCCCCGAAAGGAAGAGGATTTAGCGCATTTCCACGTTATTAGGCAGAAGAATCATCACTGAAGCAGGCACTAAGCCATAATAGCCTATCAAAGTATGCAGCAGCTGATTTTTTTTCCGTGGCAGATACTGACCTCTGGTGGTATGAGAGAGTTGCAGTGAAATTCAGTGAGTTTTCTTCAAGAGATCATTCCAGTATAGCAGGAGTGGGGAACCTAAGGTCCACGGCCCAGATCCAGTGCCCGGCTTGCCTGGGTCCAGGCTCTTCTCTCCCAACACCCCAGCACGGGGGTGCTGATGCTGGCAATCCAGCCCTGCAGCTCCCCCACAATGGGGCTGGAGTGCCAGCACCATCTCCCTGCCCCTGGGGGAAGCCCCAAGCCTCATGGGCCAGAGTCAGGCAAGTCAGGTCTGGCTCTACCCCATGGGCAGGGTATGTGGGAAAGGGGAGGGGAAGGGAAGAAGCAGCTCCTGCATCCTACCACCTTCCTAGGAATGTTAAATATCAGCGAATTGAATAGTCGAGTAACCTCACAAATTCTTATCGGTTAATCGACTATTCCATAGTGCTTGGGGGTGGGGTCACCAGCCAGTGAGATTTGGACAGGAGGCCTGTCACTCCACACTGCTGCACAGGGTGCCAGGCAGGAGCTTATCTGCGAGGGGAGCCATTTAAAAAGCCAGCTCCCCCCACAGACTGGCTGCCTGTCACCTCCTGCTCTGCCTCTGATATAAGAGTGGCAGCAGCCCTTGTGTGGGGTAGGGGGTGCCTGACCTCCTGGACTCAGCATGAGCTGGAACTGAGACAGGCTGCTTGCCCACCTACCTCCTAATAACACTTCAAATAGAGAACTGCAGGAGGGGTTGGTCCTAGAATCATTGCAAGCCAGGACAGACAGGCTGCTGGCCAGTCTGCTTTACATTTTTTTTTTTTTTACTCTGTGGGGAGGGGAGAGAAAATGCATGTAGTCTATAGCATTAACCTATAAGCTTTTGCTTTATCAGTTAATTGACCACAATATTACACCCTACACCCTCCCAGACCCACTGACCCCAACCCACTCCTGCATTCTCCCTCTTGCCCAGACCCCAAACTTGCTTCCCAGCAGCCTCGCCTGTCACACACTGAACCCCTCATTTCTGAGTCCACCCCAAAGGGACCCACAAAATCTACAAGCTTGGGCTCAGACTCTGGGGTGCAAAGGCAAATGGGAGGGTGTCTTTCTGCTCCCACAGTCAGTGAGATTGAGAAGCAAAAAAATACCCCAAACCCACTTTTGTGCTGCCCCACCTCTCCCAGCTGATTTTTCTTGGTGGGACAGCAGTAGAGGGAGATTTATACGGGCAGAAAAAGTAGAGGCAAGATACACAACTCTTTCATTCCCTTCAGATCCTCCAATTACGCTGCAGTCATATTAAAAATCTATTTTATTCCAATGCAATGACAAGGGGGAGACATAACACAGATCCATCCTCACTAAGCAGGATCCCAGGCCCCCAAAAACCCATGAAGATTCCTGCACAGCAAATCATGGAAATAGCTAGTGAGAAAACAATGAAGTTCTAATTTTAAAAGTTATAAAGCTAGAATTCTGTAGAACTACATGCTGGAGGTAAGACAAGATAGTGTCTTGATAACAGATGTCCCAAGTTTGTGCAAAACCATCTGTTATATGAGCATGCATGCATGCATGAGGACTAGGTTGAGTGGTGTTCAGATTGCCTCGGTAGCAAGAAAAGAGGAATAGGGTGGCCAGAAGACCAAAGGCAATGCAGTTGAGAGTTACCCAGATACTGCTTATTTATTTCTGCTTCTCAATTGAATTATTTGCCTAACAAGAGAAAGTTACTTGCTGAAACCATAATCCTTTTGAGGTTTCCCTCTACCTTAGGCCTTCCAGCCTTCCCCGCTCTTTGCCTCCAAACACCAATAGCAAGCAAGGTGTACATTTTCCATGCAGGGAGAGATCAGCTTTATTTACATGCCAGATGTCTACAGAAGCAACTCTTCCAAGTTACAAACAATCAGACATCTGAAACTAGCAGACAGTACAGGGATCAAGAACCAAAATAAGTTATTTGAGCCACAGTACTGTTCACTTCTGCCCACTGACATGTGTAGGACAATTAGGATTGTTCACATTCTGTTGACATTTTTAATAGGCCATTTCAGCTCATTAGTGGTAAAATAAGAGGCTATCAGTAGAAAAAGATTCCTCAACCTTTCAGCGTAGATTTGCCTTACAAACGTTCAGATTGTTCAACAAAGATTCTGTAAGTCTCACTGGGGTTGGCTCGTACTTGTGATGTCCATGCTGGGGGCTTGGCTCGAAGCTTTGGCTGGAAGGGGTCTAGGGTCAGGTGATCACCAAGGTTACTCAGATCAATAGACTGTGCAGGCAGCTGGGACTGTGCTGAAGGTGTTCCACTTGGAACAGGCTCCTCAATACAAGGGTCCTTCTTTGTGGGTCTCCTCCTGAGTATTGTGCACAGACTGCTTGCCACCACCACCAGGATGAAGATGAAGAATACAGTAGTGCCTACCAGAATTTCCATGTAGCTGAAGAGGCCACCAATGCCTAAAAAGAAAAAAGATGCCAGTCTATAGAGTCAGCCTCCGACCACTGTCTATGGGTCTTGTGTTGAGCAGATAACTGCAGGTGGGGCTTTTTGCGCCTGAAGGAGAATCACGTTCAGAATGACTATCCTGTAGTCACACCAGATAAGACCTTCAAAAGCAGGGTGACTTAGGAGCCAAAAGTCCTATTGACTTTCAATAGCTCACATTCCATTTTCAACAGCGACATTGGTGCTATTGTATGCAGTGTTGTGGGAGTTGTGCTACTCCCAGTATATTAGTGAGAAGGTAGAGGAGATAGAAGTTGGTTCAATAAAAAAAAAAAAAGTCCACCCACCTTGTCTCCCTTTGGAGACATGGGAAAAAAATATGAATGGGACTTTGGCTTCTACGTCCATTAGCTGCCTGAATTCTACCCTTTAACTGTATGTTTACTCAGATACTTTTGAAGCAGGCACTCTATGCTTTTCTATAGCTACATGGAAGTCCAATTGCAGAGATATACGCTGTAGAATGTTAGTGAGGAGGCAAAGAAGCAGCTGTCTCCTCATTTCAATCTTCTGTGGCAGAAGAATTGAGACCCAATAATGGTATCCAGACCCAGCATAATATTTTACTCTGATTATCTTAATACAGGTGGCCCAGTGGCAGAAAGTCACCAGCAATATCTACGATCCATTACAAGGTGGAACCCAGTTTAGCTCTTATCAGGGGAAAATGGGAGCATAGGCATTGATTTCCACTGTCCATTTCTTCCTTACAAATCACACTGAAATGTTTACAATGCATTTTGTCTTACCATTAGTTTGGGGGAAAAATTCAATATAAATAAAGAAGGTTGCTTGGTTATTAGAACTGGCTGAATAAATGGATTCATAAATATTTGAATGGGGCACAATTTTATTTGCTGTTTGTTTCTGGCAAAGGCACCTGGATCTGGCGAGATGTTTTGTAAACCTGTTTCACAGATGTTCATAAACATCTCAGAAGTCAATTTGTGACTAGTTAGCTAGGAAAGGAAGCAGCTAAATTAATATACAATTATTCAAACTGACTAGACTAACCGACTCTAGTTCTCTGATCCACAGTTTGTGCCAACTGTTTTGCTTTATGCTACCATGCCAAAGAAAGAGCAGTGTACGTATTGGAAGAATTTTAATCCCTTCCTTGCTGTCTTCTGCAGAGTTCCACCAAGGTATGAACAATGCCAAGACAATGTGGGGTAGCGATTAGGGTTTCCCAGTCCCGTGGGTTAATTCTTTTGCAAACTCATATGACAAATTCAAGTTGTAACTAAGAATCTAGCAAGAGTCGTAGCCATTGGTATCTACAGCAGATTAAAGGAAAAAAGGATTAGGAATGTACTTGGCAATTAATGGAGTGAAGTAGCAATGTAAAGGGTTAACCAGTGGCCTGGCTGAAGTGACTCAGCCACTGGCAGCGTGACTCAGCCATCTCTGCCTGAGAAGCCCCCCACCCCCACCTCCCAGGACCTCAGCCCTCAGGGTTAACTGATTAAAAAGTTAACTGGTTAAATAAGTGTAAACTGGAATTTATATCCCTTGAGTGAAGCTAGTCAGCATAGGACACATGTGAAACAGGGCTTTAGTTAGATTTTCACTGAGACACATTGGAACACTATTTTCATGTTCCAACTACTGCCTCACATCACTGTACCCAACCAGAATCTCAGAGCAGTTTTGTTCTTCTACCGGCTCAGGAGAGCATATATTGAAAATTTGATTGAAAACCAGATTTACTCTAACATTCTAACAGCTCAAGAGGGAGCGGGGGATGGGGGAGAAGGGTTATTCCTGACTTGATTTACCACTAGAGAATCTTGCTCTGAATAGCAGCAAACTAAAAGCCTTTTTTGGGAAGGGTTACAAACCCCTCTGTTGGCTCCCATCCTCAGTTGAAGAGCAGCTTATTAACTTTAGATCTAAAAGCAGGAGTTCTACTCTGAGAAGTTAGTGTATGTCTGATATGGCCAGCATTGATGGTCCTTGCAAAGAAATGGGAAAGGCTTCTCATCCCACACTAGGCACAAAACTGAATTCTATCTGTGTACAGCTAGCCTACAAGAATTTTTCCAGGAAACCAGAAAAACTCTTCTGCATCCAGGGAGGCGTTTTCTCTTATGCTTTCAGAAGCCCCTGTATTCCTTGTTCCACAAGGAATAAGGGGGGCTTCTGAAAGTATTTCCCCCCCCCAACATTTGGCCCAGTCTAGATGGGCCAAATGTGGGAGAAGGCTCATCCCAAGAAGAAAAAAGTGGTAGTGTAACCATACCCTCAGCAACAGTTATTTTTCAAACAATTCACATTTAACATGAAGAGTCAGTGATTTGTTACAAAGGACTGAAGTTGCACTGTTTGCCACTTACTTGTGAGCTAAGCGTGTTAACAGTTTTTGCTACTTATGCCCGGTTGAGTATTTCACAGTAGGGCTACGTGCTGCAGTGTAGAGTATTTTGGGATACCAGAGGTATCCTGAAATAGCTATTCCACATCTTGAGTGTACCCACTATTTCAAACTATAATGGGCTCACTATTCCGACGTCCCTGTAAACATCATTCCATAAGGAGTAAGGAACGTTTCAGAATAGCGATTTATTTCAAAATAAGTGCTGGATAGACAGCGCCAAATTTTGAAATAAGATACACAGTTTGTGTAGCTCAAATTGCATATCTTATTTTGACCTACAGTTGAGCGTAGATGCACCCTAAATGTGTGTCTCAAAGTTCCTTTGGCACATGTTGTATCAACATTAAAAGCAATTAATTTACTTCACTTGTGCGGCTCCAATATATATATCTGTATATCTATCTAGTTCTGGCACTAGTCAAAGAACAGAGAAGTAGAATTGTCTTGTCTACCTGACTGTGGGATGCGGACACACAATGTGCCAGATTTTGTTGGAGAACGATCGTCATACTCCTTCTTACAGCGACATAAGTAAGTGCCATCTTCATTGAGGCAGTCTGCCTCATCACCACACAGTCCAATTCCAGAGTTGCACTCATTCACATCTGTAGGGGATAGAACAGGGGCAGCAGGTCTGTTGTAGAGTTACTCTGTGCTTCTTCTAAAAGATTCCCTTGAAATATCACCTTGAACAAAGTAATGGGTTATTCCCACCCCAATCCAATTAAAAATAATTAGTTGACAGGTTACCTAAGAATCAAGTGATACATACATGTAGCGCTTCAAGCCAACTCTACTCAAAGTCTCCTTTCCCCAAGTCTATAGTGTACAATTGTTAAACCTATGACAAGGGGCAGCAGAAGCAGTTCATACCTCTAACAGACAACAAACCCAGCTGCAATTTCTCAGCTCCCACAGACTTGCCAATGAGATCATTCAGTTGAGAATGGAGTAAGACAGACATGTTCCTTTCCTCCGGTTTTAAGTGTAACCAGAAAGTCAATGTTGGTTTTAGGTCATTTGTTCTGCATTAAAGCAAAAGTAACATCAGCAAAGCTAAGAAAAGTATCCATGTATTATTGAACCAGGTTCCATAGCAGGAAATCAGTCTCCATTTACACAGACCAGGGACTAAGTTCTTCCTCGTGTGTCATCCCCATAGGAACTACTTCTAAAAAGGAGACACACAAATTTCATTTCCCCCTTTCACTTCTTGGTGACCTACTATCCCTCCATGTGGATCGAAACTATCAGACTCATTTACACTAGGCCACAGACAACAGGTAAACTAAGGCAAGGTTGGTTGAAATTGACAGCTAAGGTCCTTAATGGGGAAAAAACCCACAACTTACCCTCAGAGGCCTTCTTCTCATAACCAGCAACGTCCTCATATGCATCAGGGGTGTGTGGAAGCTTCTCCCCACTCCCAGGTACCATTTAGGGACACTGGGGGTGCTGCTTGGGGCTGAACCAGTCCCAGATGGAGGGTGCACTCCCCAGCCAGTCCTTTTCATCTGCCTGATTATTCTGCCTCCTTGGCCCCAGCGCCAGGTATGAGGAAGGGTTTAGCCTAAGGCTTTTGGGCAGAGGCACCACTTACGCAGGCCAGTAGCCTGCAACATGCAGAGGCCGGTGCAGCCACCCATCTGTGGTCACTCTGCAGTATAACGGCCCTCCACACTCGCTGCTCCTCTTTGGCCATTGCAGAGCATATCAGCCCCTGTTTTCCAGGCACATCCCAATTCCTGGCAGGATCAAGCCCTGACCTTGCTTTGAAGTTATGATAAGAGGAAGCTGTGTACCATATTTGGAAGTCCTAGCTCTTATAGCTTAGGAAGAGTTCTTGAACTATATGGACAAACAGATGGACAGAGGCACGTTTCTAAAATATATAATAAGATCATATTCTCCATCAATTGATTTTGAGAATGCACACGTATCACCCACTACTGGACTATTTAGTCAGCCAGCCATACCTTTTGATTTCCTTTAGCTTGATTTCATTGACTTCGCTTACCAAGAGTTTCAAGTTCTTTTGTACCTGAAAAGTAACAAAAAATGAAGAATGTTTATTTTCATAAGGGGATGGCAAATGCTTAGCCAAGTACAGCTGTCAAGCATACTCTTAACAGACACCTGTGGAAAGATAGAGGTCTATTTTAGCGGTTGTGTTGTTGGGGTGGCTGCCTGACGAAGAAAAGTTTGTCACCAATTTAAAAGGAGTCTTCCAAAAAGGATAGGACCCTTTCTCCTAGGGCAGTTCAGTCTTTTCCTACCACCCCCCCATTTAGCTTGGGATCCCATACTCGTGTTTGGCTATATGGGAAGAGCTGGGGGAACTGCAACCTCCCCTTCTCATGAGTAACATATACCAGAAAAATATTCAGTTTGGCAATGAATATGATAGCTGTTTTGACTGCAGGTAGGCCAGTATTCTATACCTGCTTCTTCCTTACAGCAAGTCATACTAGGAGGTGAATGCTGTTAGACTAGCTGTGTGAATGCAGAATACTGAGGTTGTCTCGTCAGTGGAACTGGGCAAATTCCCAACCAGCCACGGTGGTGCAAATCTGTAGGGTAGACAAGCAAAGCATCTATTTGCATAGATGGAGCTTATTGGTGCTGGATACGGAATAAACTACTCCTGAAGACAGCAGCTTTGCCTGCCTACATTAGGAATTTAAACTAGTACAGCTATGCTAGTAGCAAATGCCAGTGTAAACCCTCAATGGAGCCAGTTTACCCAGCCAAGAGTATATGACTTTTGGCTAAGACTCAGGCACCAGTCCTGTGCTCCACAGAACAGACCCGTTAGGGGTTTCTCCTCAAACAGCCACATGCAGTAGCCTTAAAGGTGAATGCTCGCAGGTCTATCCCTACAAGTTATGTAGGGTTGGGGAGCAGCTAATGCTCATTTATTAGAAGAAATTAAGGCCATAAGCTGAATTTAAGTTGTCTGAATGTTCATCTTTGTATCATATTCCAGTCTATTAACTCGTAAAATTTATAGTACTTTGAAAATTCACCGATGAAGCAGTGTCAGAAAGAGGCAAGACAATGGACTAGATATTCAGTGTTTGTTTGGGACACCATTAGCATATGGTAGCAAGATGCAGAGGAAGGGGCATTTAGAAGGTCTCTGGATGTGAAAGCTGGGATGTCAGAGAGCCACAGAGGGACACTGAACGGGAATGGTCTTTTCTCAAGGCAAATCTATAGTATCTAGTACCATTTCTCCAGTCTTACATGAAGCTTAATGGAGTCCAGGACAGCCTTTTTCAGCTCATTCCCACTACTTGGGATCCATCCCTGGTGTTCAATTTCACTAGTTACTTCAAATAAGATATCTGTCAAAAGAAATAAAAAACAAAACAAAAGACCTTAGCCAGCAGCTTCAATTTAGCTATGTAATGATGATTTAAGGAACCGCTCAGTTTTGTCATTGCCAACACAGCAGGGGGATAGAACACAGCAAAACCAGCTAAGCCAAGAACATTTTGTAAAAGTCAGGGCCATATTAGAGTTATTTTGATACTTTTAGAATTTGTGTCACAGGCAGAACAAAATGTTGGAGACACTCACACATTAAACAAGTTTAGCTCCTTAATTAATTGGCATTATGCAACCATTGCACCTTCCACCAGAAAGGAGAAACATTCTGCATAGCTTAGTCCATCGGGCTCCTTCCATTCGCTACCAACAATGCAGTCAGCTTTGGGATAACAAGTAATTTAACACGGATACTTTTGGACAGGAAAGGAAAACGCCTCTTTTCAAGTAATGCCATTCAGAAGGTGCATTAAATAGGTAAAATGTGATGTGGCTAGGATGCGAAAGAATAAGATACACAAATTCATAGTTTATGACATTTATCCCCTTCAGATACATTTAAATATTGGAAAAAAAATAGGATTGACTGTTTCAAGTTGGTTCTTGGTCTTCCTGCTCACAATCTGACCTAGTTGTGTTTCTTAGCTGCTTTCTATCATGCAAGGCACAGAGGGAGAAGAGTTCTCTGTCCCTGCCCTCCCCCCCAATTAAATGAGCATTATTTTACTGGGTTTTGGCTCAAGTGGTCATGGAAAGCAAGTTGACCAAGAGCATTTGTGCACAAGCAATTAGTCAGCTGTCTTCCAACAGCCAAGCAAGTAAAACCTCACCATTCATAGGCTGGTAACAAGTGCCTCAACACAACTAAGGCAACTTCTTAAGTATCCGGGGAAGATTTTTGTACCAGCCACCCAGTTCTAGTTAACACACCTGCTTTTAGGAATCATGCCCTGGGATCTAACATAAAAAGGAGTCATGGTTGCTTAAGAAGCACAGATAAAATAATAAACATCTTTCACCCAATCTAGCTCCCTTCGACATATCTCCAACAACTTAGAAATTAAAGCACGTTGAATGAATATCCATTGGCACATTGCACAAAAATAATTACTGACCAACAGCCTCTTTCTGGGGGTGCAAGTTTAAAAAAAAAAAACATCTCAGCTTGGTGCTTAGAGCTATCAATCCCCTCCCCCTACAGCCACATTAATGGACGGTAGGCTGCAGAGCCTGCAGGGATGGCAGGCAGTGGAACCCCCGGGGATGCTGAAGCCCACAGGGCCAGCAGGACCCCAGAAGAGCTGTGCAGAGGCCAGAACATTGGACTGGTAGAATCAGCAGCACAGCTGGCCCCTAGGTGCAGGGAGGCCAGGTGGAAAACCTGAGGGTGTTGCAGCACCCCTACTATCCATGCTTATGCCCTCCTTATTGGGCCCCTGTTCTTCTGGAGTTCAGGGATTTAGGAAGCTGACTCCAAAGGGAGTCATCTTCCTAAATTTAACTACATGGGGAGCTCTAGGACAATTATCTGCTCCTGTTGCTTATTCCTCATCTGGAGACAAACTCTCAAAAGAGGGGAGGGAGAGAAGAGAGTTCTCCAGGGATCAAGAAGGTGAGAGGAATAAGATCAGTGGTAATGTCATACAGGCACCCCTCCTCCATCCCCACGGACATCAGGTACTTTTATACACCATACAATTTTATTATTCATATTTAGTCATTCAAAACCCCGACCAGTCTCTTCAGCTATTTGTGACTATAATTTCCCCGCCATTAGTCTGGTTGCTGGTCAAAAAAGTTAAACGCTCGCAGGTTTCAGAACCTCATCCAGGATAAAAGCTTCCCCTGCCCACATCTGTTACCTCCAGGATTGTGCTGTGATTCCAGTAGAGTATCATTTTCAAGAGAAGCGAGAATGGAAGCCAAATCTGTCAGGGTGAAAAAGAGAGAGGCCAGTGTGGTAGCCTTTGAGTAAGGCTGAAAGGGAAGAACAAAGTTTTATAATTCAATTACACCTTATGCCATTTGTGCTACTACTACTACTACTACATAAATAGGCCTAATGATCAAGTTACAATCTGAGGGGTTCTGCAACAAATGGTGCTAAGACAGTCTTAAAAAACCTCTAAGTTACACACCAAGAGCCTAAATCAGTTTTTCAACATTCCTTTGTAGTTACTAGAACAACTGCTCCAAGTTCTACTTAACGCAAGTTCTGGTACAGGGCACGGTAGCTTCACAATGAGAGGTCAGTAAACAAATTGGGCATGTCTACACTGTCCCATTGTTTGGGGGTGAATGAGTTAGTAGTGCAAACTCAAAACCTTTACATTCATACCTGCAGCATGCACAAGGGGGAGCTACAGCATAGCACTTCGGTGCTCAGTTATACACACTCCCTTACTGCCAACTGCATGGGCATGCCCCAATGTTCTTCTCATCTTAAGTGGCAGACATTTCCAAAGACTTTGGACTCTAAATGAACCTCCACTTAATGCACCAGTTATAAAGTTCAGTAGGAAAAGCTCAGTACAAACTGATCACCTGTCAATTGTGAAGCAAGTGAAAGCGTGGGTTTTAGAGGAGAGGCAAAAACAAGCTGACAGAGGCACATTGCACAATTAAAACTGCATACTCAACAAGTAGGGCAGGAATGTAGGCCCAAGTCCAGGGACACTCTGTAAATGCTGAGAGAAGAACATGGGACTAAACATTCAGTAGATAACTTTCCAGCCTTAGGGCTCGTCTCCACTATCTTCTGAGACACGATAAATTGATCTGAGCACTCCCTCGATGCTGATACTCCATCAGAACAAGAGCAATCAGCGTCGATGGGAGAGCAGCCCCACTGACCCGACCGCACGTAAGATACCATGGTGAGTAGATCAACCTCCATTACGTTATTTGCCTAGCTGAAGTTACATAGATTAACTCGACAGTGGGGGTTAGTGCAGACTAAGCCTTATATGCTTTTCTACCACTGAAGTAGTATAAGGAGATGTGCTATATACATTCAGAGCATTAGGGATGGTGAAAATTTTCATATCTAGTCATTCAACACTTCTCCCAAAGTTATTTCTGACAAAGTATCTTTCAGAAGCCATAAAAAGCCATATCCATCGACACTTGGCTAGTGCCTTAACATGACCATATATCTGCCAATCCAAGTAGATAACCTGACTATAAAGTTTACTTAGATCCACCCCAGCTACCTACTTACCAAAGGAGTCTTGTTCATGGTCTGTTTCCAAGGATGCAGTGTCTGACACCTCATCAGAAGGAGGATGCGATTTTGTGCTCACAGTCCATGGAGGTTGTGTGTCTTGGGTTCCTGGAATGCCAAGGTGTGGAGGAGCAGTAGCTGCTTTTACCAATGGGCTGCTTCTGGAGCTGCTCAGGAAGACAGGTTTGAATTCAGTAGCAGTATTCTCAGCACGGTGAATGCGAGAGGCATCTAGGGCTACAGAAACCTGGGTAGACTCCATTTTGACAGCTCTCTTAGGTGTTCCCTTCGGCTCAACAGCGAGTTTGTTTTTGAGGGCAGAAGCTGGCATCAAGTGTAGATCACCTTTGTGGTTTCCCTTTCTGTGCATCTGACGCTCAACAGGACTTTCTTTAATGCTTCTCTCCAAGTTCATCATATGCGCTAACTGATCAGTTTCTTCTTGATCATCCCCAGTTAGCCTGGTGTTAGACTGGGAGTCTTCCTCAAAAGCAGCAGGATGACTGGCTACTCTTTCATCATTCACATGACTTGACTGGGGCATCTCTTCATCTTTGATCAGTGCAACTCTGAAGCCTTGAGAAGAGTTTGTTTGAATGACCTGCTCTTCCCATAATCTCTGCAGAGATTGCAAGCCATGAGGAGGTGTAAAATTTCTACGTACAGATGGCCTTGCATCTGGCTGTAGGTCTTTCATACTAGCTGGTCTGTGCGGTGACTCTGATGACGGGGTTGTTTTGACACTTTGCTTTTTCACATATTTCAAAGGCTCTCTGAAACCTAGAGTCTCAAAGAGCAGGTTTGAGTGGATTGTTGGCCTTTGAATAAGTTTACCAAAAGCAATAGTTTGTTCTTTTTTGTCCTGGATGTTTGGCCTCAATACATCTAATGCTGGTTTTATTAGAAAGTCAGAAGGTTTTTCTTCGCTGCTACTGGTTTCATTACCCAAAGATTTCATTGGCTGCTTCCACTTCAGATCATGAGTGCTGAAGGTCATGTTGCCCACAGCTTTCAAAAGAGGGATGTGGGTGTTGTTCCCAAAAACAAGCCTTAAAAAAGCTTTTAATGTCGTTGAGCTTCCATTTTTGGCCTGGACTTCTGTGTCTATCATAGGTAGCTTGTTAAGCAGTTGGTTTTCATTATTAGCTGTGCTGGTCTTTACAAAACCCAGAAGACCTCTGTAGTGTTTTTTGGGTGATTTAGGATAGAATCGGATACTGCCATACTTTGTTTTCATAGTATTCTGAACAGTCTCTTGAGAAACTGCATCATCATTTGTAGATTGTGAAGTTTCATAGTCTTTGAATACATAATACTGGCCTTTAAAGTATTGGTGTTTGTGGTTTAAGGAATTGCCCTTTGACAGAAACACAACATGTACAGCCAAAGCTTGGGTAGCAAAGATCAGAGTACCTTGGCTCCTACACGCATAGACTACTTTTCTTTCCACACTTGACAAGACCCCTTGAAAAATTATTTTATCAGGGTTCTCATCACAATCTTCCTTCCCCTGAAATCCTTTTATGTAAATCAGGATGTGTTTTTGAGGGCCTGCCCAGATGGTCCAGTTGCACCAGATGTTGGTTTGAATACCACTGTGTGCAGGTGGGGTAAATGTCCCCATTTCATCCTTCAAAGTGACATGGCAACTTCTTATAGGAAAATACACCAACAACCAAGGCAGCTCTGGTTCTGAGGAGAAAGGAGGATGCATGGAAGGAGAAGGGGGGAAAAAAAGTGTTGAAGGTCAGTCTTCATTCTTGAAGCTTTATAACAAAAACAAAAACCAAAAAACCCCCCCAAACACTCCACATTTACAAGAAAAGCAGATTCCTTTCATCATAGAAGAGACCTGTCTGAATGCATTCCTACTGCTCGGCTGTTTTAATACCTTCTCTCGCTTTGCTTAAAAAAAAAATTTAAGGAGTGAGTGAAACTATTACTGGGGCTTTTGGGCTACGTCTACACTGCAAGCTTTTGCCAGCAGAGAGTATGCTAATGAAGCACTCATTAGCATTTATCGCACTGTCATTTGCCTATTCTCTGCCGATGCTTTTTGTGCAAGAGGTTTTTGCACAAAAACAAGCCGTGTAGACTAGGCCGTTTTGCGCAAGATCCTTATGCCTCAAAAAAGGAGGCATAAGGATCTTGTGCAAAAGGGATTTTTTGAGCAAAACAGACCCATCTGCACGGCTTGTTTTTGCGCAAAAGCCTCTTGCACAAAAAGCATCAGCAGAGAGTAAGTAAGTGACAGCATGACAAATACTAATGAGTCCTCATTAGCATACTCTGCCAGCAAATGCCTGCAGTGTGGACATAGCCTTGGTTAGCTATGCAACCTATTTGGCTCTGCTAGTTCTCCACATTTTTTCCCAGTTATCCCCTCATAATTCTGAGGAAAATTCTTACGGTTAGTTATTAATAATTTGTCCAGCTCTATTACAACTAGTGACAAATTGTATCAATAATTGTTAGAGCTGGTGAAACTAACCTAAATAGTTGGGCAGACTGTTGGGTAAATCATTTTCTTAAATAAAACAATCAATTGAGTTATTCATGAATATTTGCTCTTCAGACAGTCCACTTAATATTGGCAATACCTGCCAAGCACTATGCTAGCTAGATAACAAGATTCTGTCCCTCGGGTCATCAGGATCTGGCAGCAGTGAAAAGGTTTAGTGTAAGAAACTGACAGTGGCACCTAAGACAGGACCAGAGATGAATATGATGAGTCTCTCTCTCCCAGGATTGGTGGGAAGATGAGAAGTCTGCATAGAGGCAGGAAGAAAAATTGAGTTTATTGAGCACCCTTGTGTTTGATCACAACAGGGCATAAATGATCCCACTCCACTAATGCTTGTCACAAGCCATAGGAACACTGTAGTCCAAAAATTAGATTAGACTGGTTCTAAAACAATTTAATCTAATTTTGGACTACACTGTTATTATTTCTCTCACTCTGCAATGAGGCTATTATTCTATTAGAACTAGTCAAGACTGGCAATCAAAGAGGACACGTTCTTCCTCCCACCCACTAGTCCAAAGGGTAATTTTGGCATGTGGTCTAAAGTTTCATTTTGTAATAACCAGGCAGTCCACAGTCCCCCGACAGTCCCCTTTAGAGCAGAGCTAGAAAGCAAGTTCCACAATTCCAGCCATTAGAATTCCTAAGCTATATGGCGTGTTCCTTGTAAAGAAGCCTCTATTTCAAATTTCTGTTGGACTCATCTGCTTTGAATTTATCTCCATTAACAATTGGAAGCTGGTAATGGCTTCCTTTGCACAGCAGCTGCAAGTGCTTAGCATCAGATGACCATGCACAAAGACTTCTAGTGCAGCGTCAAATAGCACGTTGTAGTGCTGCTAATGTAGTTATTACAGCAGAGCGCTAGAGCATACACAGTGCCCTCCCCTACTCCTCAAGCCAACTACTTGGTTTCAGTCATTGTGAGGAACCATGAGACAAGATTTGCCCAGAACAGGGGCTCTCAAACTTCATTACACAGGGAGCCCATTCTGATAACAAAAAACCTAGATAATTCCAGGCGGAGGACCAAACACCCATGTAGCCTCAGCCCACCTCCCTCTGGTTTCAGCTTCAACCCTGGGTTGTAGGACTTGGGCCCCAGAAAGTCCAAGCCAGCCCTGGTGACTCCATTAATAATCCACTTTGGGGTCCCCACCCATAGTTTGGGAACCGTTGATATAGACACACAGTAAGTGCTAAACATACCAATGCGGCTGAGGACTCTTGCTTTTGAAGTTGTTGTATTCTCAGGTGCACGACCTGAAGAGGTTCTGGCAGGAGGTGAAGCTACATTCTCTTTCAGTGCCAGTTTCTTAGATGGAGTTAGAGCATCACTATAATCCATAGCAGAGCTCTGAGAAGCAATGGACCACTCAGAGGTTTCCCACGCTTTGGGGTATTGTGTGGTATCTGGAAATACTGGTTTCAATGTTGTGTTACTCATCTCTTTTACAGACTGAGTCAGTTCAACGTTATTATTCGTCTCTATGTGCTGCAGTGGAAAAGCGGCCCTTGTGCTAAAGGTCGTAGGAGCATTTTTAAGGATTAGCTCATTTTGCTTTACTCTGTTGAGCCTTGTAACAAGTAAGGGCATTTTAGCCAGGTTCTCAGTTACTGGAGAAAGTTTGCTTGTATGGGCCTCAGATTTAAGAAGTCCAAGCTCACGTTCTGGCCTTAAGGCCTGCAGCTCAGTTGTATCCAAGACGACATTGGCAGTGACGAAGTTGGTGGTGAAATTCCTTTCATCCATTGGTCGTTGGACACCTATTTTCATTTCTTGAGAGAAATGAAGAGCTTGCGTTGTACTTGGGAGGACAGGATTATGTTCCGTAGCACCCAGAGCACCATGGCAGTCCGTGTATGGCTTCTCATGATGGTCACCTTCCAACAGGCCCTCCACGGGAACAGTTGGCTGAAGCAGGGCTGTGGTGCTCAGGTGGAGCTGATGTAGCTCTGCGTCAGTGTCAATGTAGTGACTACCTTCTGTTCTCAAGTGGAGCTCATTTCTATGTTCGTCACTTGTCTGAGGAAGGGCTGCTTCTCTACTTGGGCTGACAGGCTCCAATTCCACAGCAGCCAGAAGAAAAGTCACCTCTGTACCCAGGAAGGGGACAAGTTCTGAGGCAGCTGGAGGAAGGGATGGTTCTGTTCTGGGGAAAGGGGTGACAAGCTCCCTTACTGGGGGAAGAACAGGAATGGACATTTCTGTGCTGGGGAAAAGGACAGGGCCCAGTTCCGAGGAAGCTGGAGGAAGGGATGCTGTTGTACGTGGGAAGGAGATGACTGCCTCCAGTTCTGAGAGAAGGACAGGAAAGGAGGTTTCTGTACTTGGGTGGAGCTTCAGTTCAGAGGCAGTTGGAAGAAGATAAACTTCTGTACTCGGAAGAGGCCCCCGTTCCATAACGAGGCCCACCTGCTGACTGGCTGTCATGTCCACAGAGAGCACCTCCGACACATTCACCTTTTTAGCAGCTTGATGCAGGGACACTGCTGTACTTGGCAGGATACTTTCTAGTTCCGTAGCAGCTAAATCCACATGTTTACTGCTTTGGAGCCTCAAGTGGTACTCATCCTCTGACATGCCATATGGAGCTGTGGTGAACAACTTGACTTTCAACTGGTCAATGACTTCCATGGAACTTTCCAGAACAGAAACATTATGAGGGTTCATGTTTTTGAGGGAGGATGTTCTCAGATCCAGTTCTGTTACAGGCTTGTCTCCACTGTCCATCTGAGTAGAGCTTGTTTGGTAACTTCCTACTTTATCCATTCCTTTCATCTCCAACTGTGACGGATCACCAAGTGCCACTTGATCCTTACTGGTCACTCTGAGGCTAAGCAGTGAACCCTTCATGAGACTATCCCTATGACTGCTTATCACCTCATAAGCCAAGGTGTTGGATTGCAGATCACTCACTAAGGCTACCTTGTTGAGACTTTGGGAAGGGATAGAGCCAATGTTCTGGTCTCCTTTGGTTTCCACTTGGTCATGAGCTATGGAATGTGAATATGAGGCCAGGACAGAGTAACTCAGAGGTGTTGGATTTATATTCAGTTGTAAATCTCCCATATTAGTTTGGCTCAAACTAGGGAGGCAAAGGGTCAATTCACTCGCTGTTCCTTCTAACTTAATAGGTTTCAAAGGTTTAATTTGAGGAGAAACACTTAAAGGAATCTCAGAAAAAATACCTAGAAGACTTTTTGGCCTGTACACCTGGCTCAAGTCCACAAGGACTTCACCCTCTGATGTTCTCGTCTCAGGTGACACAGTTTGGGGTTGACTTCCAGAAGATTTCCTTATGCCAGTACTATTTTCTTTGTCCGTTGATGTTGTAGACAAATCAAGACACTCCTGCATGCTATGGGCTTCTGTTTTTAGAAGGCGAGTCCTTGCAACATGCTGAAGAGAACTTTCAAGAACTGTGACATTTTGACCTTTACCCTCTATCTGTAATAACCCTGTGTTACTAGTGACAATTGTCTTAAGGTTTTTATTAAGATTCTTAGCACTTGAAGCTGTGTTAATGTTTGTATAATCGGAACTCTCTCCTTGGTATATTACTGATACTTTGTTAGATCTGGGAGTGCCATCAGCAGTTTCCCTAGAGGCTTGAGAAACTAAAATATCTTCAGAAGAGGTGTTAATGTCACGGTGCTTGAATATATAATACTTCCCTTTAAAATATTTGTGCCTAGCATTTGCAGAATACTTCATCAGGAACACTACATGGACAGCCCGGGCATAGGTGGCAAAGACATATATCTTCTTGTTCCAACAAGCATAGATCACAGTGTTTTCTACTAAGGAAGAGACTCCTTGAAATAAGATTTTATCTTCATTTTTGACACAGTCCTCATCCGTCATAAATCCTTTGATATAAATGACTATATGTTTTCTGGAACCGGCCCAGATAGTCCAATTGCACCAAATATTTAGCTGAAAACTGTTATACGTTGGAGGAGAAAACTCCCCTAGCTTTTCCTTCAAGACTCTATGGCAATTTCTCACGGGTACATATACCAACATCCAAGGGAGCCCCAGCTCTGGAAAACAAATGAGAGATACAGATACAAGCTGAAGCCTTCCCAGAAAGATTAGAAAGCTTTTCCTGACATCTCAGATTTTCACTCTGCTGTTTCATACAAGAAGTCTCCAGTCTCCTGCACCTTTCCCCTCAGTGCCCAGGTGTATATAAGGCTCTAGTACACTAAAAGGAACCATGCAATTAAATAAGTCAGCCCTCAACGTAGGAACCAGATTCTCAGGCATATTTAAGTGCTTAACAGCCATTGAAAGCAGTGTAGCAAGCACCTCAAAAGCCTTTGAGAATCTAGGCTCACCTGCTGTGACTTGAGAAGAGTCCAGAGGTGAAAATAAGGCCATGTCTACACTAGAGCGCTTACAGCGGCACAGTTGTATTGATGCAGCTGTGCTACTGTAGATGTTGCCACACTATGCCAATGAGAAAGTGCTCCCCAAGCAACATCAGGGGCAGCTCTGCACTTCCTGAAGGGGCAGATGCAAGGGGTGGGACTGGGCCAGGCCAGCCAGCCCTCAGCACCATCCAGAGTGCATTGTGCAGACCTCTCTACCTCCCCTCCAGCCCCAAGCCACCACCCAGAGCCTATCACATGGCGCTCCAGCATCAGTTTAAAGAGCCCAGGCTGCCACTGCTCCTGCAGTAGCAGTAGCCAGAGCCCCCAGACCTTTTGAATTGCCAAGCCCAGAGGCAGCTGCTCCTTGGCCCCCTCCCTTCCACCCGAATCTACAGGCCTGAGTAAGACATGGACAGGGCTTCAGTTGCAGAGGAAGAGCCACACTCTAGGGTGAGTAGGAAAAGAGATAGACAATCCACAGGTAGGGTTAGTGTCATGTAAGGAAAGAGCCATCCCAGGACAGCAGGTAGTTTAAAAGTTACTCGTTTCCCAGCTGTACTGAAGACAACAAAACTTTAAAAGCTAGTCGGGTATTTTGAGGTCAGTTGGGCTAGAAATGGCATCAGTTCAGCAGCACTCCACACAGTTTAGTGCTTGTCAGGTAAGTATGAGCCAGATATTCTCTTTGGCTATGTCTACACTACAACGTTATTCCAAAATAACTCCTGAAATAACTATTTCAAAATGGCACATCCACTCTACAGAGAAGCCTCAAAACTAATCTGAGGCAGACTCCCTTAACGTGGACGTGCTACCTCAACTTAGAGCCCCAGGAAGCGGTAAGGCTGAATTAGTTTAAATGACACTGGGGAATAGTTATTTCAAAATCACAGAAGCTGAGAATCCCAACTAACCTTTTTTGAAATAGCAATTTCAAAATAGACATTATTCCTCAAATCCAGGGGTTATTTCAAAACAAGCTCATAATTTCAAAACTATTTTGAAGCATTGGGCTTGCTGTATGGACACTCACCTTCTTATTTTGAAATAATGGGAGTTACTTTGAAATAACTCTGTAGTTTAGACATACCCTTAAGGGATAAGGGATTTGTACAGTGGTGGCAGGAGCTAACAGCATCTAGAAGCAGGTACTGAGAAAACATGTCCCCCCGCCTCCCTCTAGCAGTAGAAGACTAAACCACAGGTGTCTCTTCCCCATTCAAGAGCCAAGTTAAGAATGGCCATAGCGGGTTAGACCAACGGTCCATCTAGCCCAGTATCCTGTCTTCTGACAGTGGCCAATGCCAGGTGCCCAAAGTGGGAATGAACAGAACAGGTAACCATCAAGTGACCCATCCCATTGCCACTTCTGACAAGTTATGCAGTGGTTTTGTAATATGAACCAGTGTTTGAAGAGCAGGTAAAGCTGCTTAACTGCCTGGAGAGGAGGCTGCGATTTGCAGGTTACCGGTGCATCCAAATTTACCCCCTTCCTGAGCTCTATGGGACTGTCACGCATGCACACAGCCCCACTGGAATCCACATGGCTGCATCACACATTTAAGGGCGCTGTGCTTTTTGTCACATGCTCCCATTAAGCAGCTTTTTGGGGAGATTGCCTAATCTTGACACACTTCTGCTTTCAAGAGAAACTATTCAAAACAAAGCAAGTCTTGGTGAACTGCCCCTTGCATCGTCAGCATTACCCAGTCACAGAAGCACAGTTTCACTTGGATTCAAAAGTGTCATGGAGGCAAACACAATCCACTAGGTGAAGGGGTCAGCCACATTGTGCTTACGCAAACACTTCCATGCAAACAGCCACCAAAGGGAGGGGAGTTCTATTAAAAGCACCATTTTATTGAGCGACCTTGCTGTCAAAGGGCTGCTTGACAAATGTACTCGGGCATTTGGAAAGCAACTTTCTTTCCTCCCTGCAACTGGGACATTGACTCCTGTTTGATTAAAAACCTCACCATATCTAATTGCACTCCTCTCCCATGTTATGCTGGCATAAAACCTCCCAACATACCCCGCATTCCACAGTATTTTTCAGAGCTTTTTCCAAATTTATTAAGGTGAATGCAGTGCTGCCGTACTGCACGGAGAGCTAGAGATGGCAAATCATATATTTTTGCCCCTTCTGACATGGGTATCTCCCCTCTAACAAGGGGTAGCAGCTTCCCAGAGGAGGAGAAACTAATGACAGAGTCTGGGTAGCATCTAAGTAATTTGTTTTGTTTACATACACGAGTCCTGAAAGAGATGCTCAAACAGCATACAGGGAAATCTGTTCAAGGGATCTCAGCCCAACATCTATACCGGATGCCTTGCAAGCAGCTTTGGTTTAAGCAGTAGCATAAAGCAGATTCTCCTGCTTCTTGCACAGTTTCTTATTCAGGGACCCTGCCTCTACACAGAGCCTTGCATAACAAGTAGTGACACCACAGCAGTTCTTCCTCAGGTGTTAGAACTAGCTTGCACTGCAAGACAAAATACTTGAAACCCAGTGATGCCTGCCATAAAGTGAAAACATGGGGGATTTGCTCATGAATTCTGGTTTATGTGCAGAAACAGAACACAGGGGCTATTAAAAGAATTGTAGCTCTTTACTTAAGCTGAAAGAATATTCCAAGAGAGGGGACTTTTTGGAGCAGATGGCCCAGTAACAGCAGTTCGGAGTTTTGGGAAGCTGCTTCCTACTCTTAGTCCCCATCATTTTAAGAGGGGATAGATAATCTAGCTAGAAAGACATTTGATTTTATTAAGGAAAAGGAGAATTAAGCTAGAAGTGGTAGAAAGATGCTAACTCAGTGAACTAGAAAACCCATCTCTTGGGTTTCAGCATGTACTATAAAAATATTTTGAGGAAAGAGAAGGGCCCATAAGGCTTAATAGAAGCCCAATTTAGAGACATAGGATTAGGTTTTTCAGTCTGGTGCTGCCACCTGATGTAAGGATTATTTGGGGGCTAATAGTGATTAGCTACAGTTAATGTTGCTTCCTTAAAGTATTAGTTTTCTGACCGAGATCACTGATTGTTGTTTGGCAGGGAGAAAGGACTTTTCACCAATTCTTGATATAAAGTACCCCAAAGTCCACTCTGCAATATACAAGTTCTTCAACAATCTTTAGTGCTGCTGACCTTTATACCAAAGGCTGAGGGAATGAGCCACGTTTAGATTTAACTGAAACCTTATTTGATCTAAACAGTAATGATCTTGTTAAAGTTTAATTCTTACCTGGTTTCACCTCCTGGGACCTGTTTGCCTGTAAAGAAAACAGAGTTAGTGTTCATTACAGGAAAGAAGCACTGAATACGTTCACAGTTTTCTTCTTACTCATGGTCACTTTAAATCTAAAACTTGTAGCTGGCAAGCATTGCCTCTTTCAGGGTTATAGAAAACTAGCTATGAGGGTTTCCAGCTCTTGTGCATGAGAAAGAGAGGAAAGTGGGATTTATAAAGGAACAGAGACAGGATACCTAAGAGCATAGTTTACTACATCACGGGGGCATCTACATGTTGATATTCAGCCTAATAATACTGCTTTCTCATACTCACCCCCTCTTCAGGTTTAATCACATTGGGGGTGGACTTTGCCAGGTCCCAGTGAACCTGTGCATTAATCACCTGTCCCAGCAGGGAAGAAAACAATAAGAGGGGTGGAAATATGGAGAAAAACAAAGGTTTCATGGCAAAACTTGACTGAGGACCTACATGAGAAAGAAAACAAACTAAAGAATAATCAACTAGGCTCTCCCAGACATAATCAGCATGACAAACTCTGCTGTTCTGGGTTTCCTCAGCTCATCCACTCCCCCATCCTTCTAACAAATAGCCCCTTATTATAGAAAGGGTAGGGAGAGCGGTAACTAACTTATACACTGGCCAGCTACTCAGGTGTTATCTATTATCTAATCAGCACTGCCAAGTAGCAATCATTAAGCAGAGGAGAGCTCTCTCATTCATGGAATGAACGCTTAATACCTTCTCAAGGATTCTCTCCTGGTGCGGGAGGATTCTGCTGGTGTTTCAATGGAACATTTAAAGGGATGCTGCCGGGAAGGTTATCCCAAACAAAAACATTAACCTTATAAACATATTTGGTATAGGCTTCTTTCTATACACCTGAGTAGATAACAGGGCCTATTTGCATCCTTACAGGCTTGGGGCCACAATTAGAAAAAGAAATCAATTAAGTTTAAGTTTTTATAAAACCATCATTGTTTTCAATAACATGTGAAAGCTGAGATGGACACCTTTGCTTTACTGTGTTTGTAGCCCAGGCATGGCAGCCTTATGCTGGTGGATGAGAAACACAAGTGAATCCAATCTCTGACTGAAGCACAAAAAGCAAACAGCATTAATAGTGACGTGTAAATTAGATGTTTGAAATTCTTTCTCCAACATGACTCTCAACATGTCATTGGTAACACAGACAAGGCAATTAGCGTATTTAACTTGATTGATAGTCTCCATTTAAAATGTCAATCTTTTTTTTTAAAATCTTCTTTGAGATTGTCACAGCTGAGGCTCAGTGACATGCACATCTCTCTGTTCTAATCAGAAGGCTCACAACTAAAAATCCAGGGTGGTGGCAAAAACAATGTTCCATTTGGTTTTCTATATAGCAGGACCCAGTTCTTAGAAGGTGAGGCTCTGCTCTTGCAATGAGCTCTGTGTGGGTGGATCCCTGCCCTTATGCACAGCTCAGGGTTTAACTTATTTAGGCTCTTATTCTGCATATTGCTCCATCTGGACAGACCTCTGCACCTGCACACAGCTCCATTGACTTCAGTGGGACTCCCTATGGGGAGGGGGACAGGGCAGGATCCGGGGCTAAGCAGTTGTGCTTTAGATCAGAGGTGGTCATATGGCATCTGTAGGCAAAGTGGTTCCGGCTTATTGCAATTTCTCAGGTGCACTTGGTTCATTTGAAATGAAAGGTACTCATAACGATCATAACAGGTACTTAGAAATAGCCTTCATAACATTCATGGGGGTGCAGTGGTGCCTCTGGCCAATTCATCTGCAGGGATCAAATCCAGGACATCTGGGTCTAACTATATAAGCCTCAAGATTCATAGCCACAAAGGTGGAATCAGTAGGCTGTTAGGCAGCTTTGTGGTCCTGGGCCCTAGTGTAGAAGCTGAAAGGTGAGGCCCATTTTCTTGAGCACAGTAGATGTCCTTCTGTACATGTTTTGTCAGTAGAGGAGACAAAGAGACACACTTGTGAAGCACTATTAAGGCTTCTACTTTATATTCTCTGGAGCCACTGGTGAGCCATTAAATGAGTCACACTTTCAAGGTAGCCACTAGAAAGTGACTAGACCACACACTCTGGAGCAAATCTGTCATTCTAGTCAGTAAATGGCAACAGCACAAATGCACATGGGGGAAGGGGGACAAACACAAAGACTTTGTCTACACTACAAGTTTCTGTGGCAGAAAATATGCTAATGAGAGACTCATTAGCATGAGTCATGACATCATTAGCATATTTTCTGCTGTTTCTTTTTGCGCAAGGGGTTTTTGTGCAAGGACAAGCAGTGTAGCCACTTCTGTTCTGTGCAAAAACCTTGTTTTGTACAAGATCTTTATGCTTTTCCAGGACAGGCATAAGGATCCTGGGCAAAATAGCGGTTTTGTGCAAAACAGAAGTGGCTACACTGCTTCTTCTTGCGCAAAAACCCCTTGGGCAAAAAGAAACAGCAAAAAATATGCTAATGATGTCACGACTCATGCTAATGAGTCCCTCATTAGCATATTTTCTGCCGCTAAAACATGTAGTGTAGGACATGTAGTGTAGCCAAACCGAACTGGCCAAATGGCCAATGATCCACTGACATGAATAGAAAAAGTTCCATTGATCTGAATACACTTTGAATCAGGGCCCCAAAACTGACATCCCAACCTGAGCAATTTTTTTTTAAGATTTTGCCCAGTTGAGGATGTCAGTCACTGGCTGACCGGAAGTTTTGCATGAGAATAAAGTCCAGGCAAGGATTTCAGGAATTGTAGGAGACAGGATTTATGTGTGTAAATATAGCAATTGGTATTCTCCCCACTCCTCTGTAAATAACAGTGGGTCGCCAAGGAAGAAGCATATGGCTCAGTTGACCAGGCACACCACCAATAATCATGAATTCCGTATGGCTGAAGATTGAGGCAAAGCAAATAGCTCGCTCATAGCACAAAGGCTGAGACCTGTTCTCATGAGCTGTTCATCAGTTACAAACAGCAAGAAATTGTGTAAAAATCAATGCCTGTAGAAAATCCACAAAAGGAAATGAGGCTACAGACCCCTGGATACATTATGCCACTGAAGGAAGCAAACAGCTCTAGTCCGAAGCAAAGTTCCCAATCAGGCTGCTGAGGGTTTTCAGTTTCCTAGGCTGCACATTCAAATTTTCCAGACTGTTACTCTATAGGTAACATCTAAACAGTATTGTCATAATGCCCCCTTCTTTGGTATCTTAGTTCTTACCCAATGTCATTTCTCCCAAAATGAGTATAAACAGGACTCTTGTGTGGCCCGACTCGTTGGCAGCTGTTGGGTTGGATACAGCTGCTGACAGATGTACAGGGCCGGCACAAAACATTTTGGCACCTGAGGCAGGGAGCTCAAATGATGCCCCCATACCCCCTTGCTTGGGCCTAAACTTTGTAAGGTCTCAATTCTCTGGGTTCTAGTGGTTTTCAAACTTTTTTCCTCATGACCCAGCTGAAGAAAATTGTTGATGCCCTGACCCAACGTAATTTGACTAAAGTGTCGGCTCTGGAGTGGGGCTGAGGAGGAGAGCTTTGGGGTAGAGGACACCAAAATAAATTAATGGGTAGAAGGTTTAAAACTAATAAAAGAAAGTTCTTCTTCACACAGCATGTAGTCAACCTGTGGAACTCCTTGCCAGAGGAGGCTGTGAAGGCTAGGACTATAACAGAGTTTAAAGAGAAGCTAGATAATTTCATGGAGGTTAGGTCCATAAAAGGCTATTAGCCAGGGGATAGAAATGGTGTCCCTGGCCTCTGTTTGTCAGAGGCTGGAGATGGATGGCACAAGACAAATCGCTTGATCATTGTCTTCGGTCCAGTCCCTCCGGGGGCACCTGCTGTTGGCCACTGTCAGCAGACAGGCTACTGGGCTAGATGGACTTTTGGTCTGACCCAGTATGGCCATTCTTATGTTCTTACGTATAGGAGGGGGCTCTGGCCTTGGGGGGAGATTAAGGCTGGGACAGGAGGGGCTTACCTCGAGCGACTCCTGTCAGCAGTGCAGTGGGGGTGCTAAGGCAGCTTCCTGCCTCTCCTGGCACTGCAGACCATCCCAGAAGTGGCCAGCAGCAGGTTCCCAGCCAATGAGAGTACAGAGCTAGCACTTGTGACAGGGACAGTGCACAGAGCTCTGTGCGCTTCTTCCCCACCTAGAAGCTGGGCCTCTTACCAACCGATTCTGGGGTGCAGCACAGTCTGTGGTGCCGGAACAGGCAAGTAGCTGCCTTAGCCCCCCCACTGCTGCTATGAGACCCAGTGCCTGACATTCCACGACGCAGTACTGGGTCGTGACCCATAGTTTGAAAACCATTGGATTAGGGAAAACTTTAGGGACAACCAAGGTCAGGATTGACGTTCTTATTTTGCCAATAAATCCAGCCCTCCTCCCCATACAGGAATGGATGCTAAGCCCCAGATCCTGAGAAGACTTAGTCATGTGCTTAACTGTGCACCTTGTGCATGCCCCTACTAAAATGGGCTTATTCCCGGGGTATACGGCTCCGCCTGTGTGCAAGTCTCACTCAGGGTCTGTGTGCTCTGCTGAAGATGAGGGATGAACTCAGCCCAGTGTAATCAGAAGAGCTAAAGGTTTTGTTTTTTTCATGACTAAGGAGTTCAGCCCACCATAGCTCAGTTTCCTAATGTTGAAGTATTAAGGCTATTATTTCTATTACAATAGCTCCCCATTGTGCTGGGGGCAGTACATACATACAACAAAAAAATAGCCCCTGCCCCCCAAAGAGTGAACCATCTCAGTACATGACAAGAGACAACAGATAGAAGGGGAGGGGGGAGTACATGGTAACACTGAGGTTATAGCAATGATCAAAGGTACACTAGCTGTCTAATCATTAACAAGCTTTTATAGGCCTCACAACAGAAGTAAGTCTTAAGAGGAGATTTGAAGGTCTGGTAGATTTTTACATGCTGCTTCTCCCATTCAAAAGGGACAGCGTAGCCAAAAGCACCAAGGAGCTTATAGGAATAGCAGGGTGATGGTTGACAAAGGTATCGTTCAATGCCAACAACCGAGCAGAATGCTAGAGGTGATAGGCAGGGCGTGGGTGTACATGACGCGCTTGAACAATACTGAGAAATAATGTGTGTTTCATGCTGTCAACTGAGAGATACAAAGCACTAGGGAGTGACAAGGTTGAAACCACGAGCCAGGTGATGGTCTTTGCAGCAGAGTTTGGAACAGACGTAAGGACAGGAGGATACGTGATGACATTTGTCAAAGCCAGAAAGGAGGAGTTGCAATCATCCAGGCTATTCCTCTTTTATAGACAAATATACTTCCCAGTCTGTCGTACCTCTTCTGTTTTCATATTTCTGGTGGCTGTCGGTGGATACAATATTTCTGCCTCTTTCAGCTAAATCTTCCATTGGTATCTGGATATTTTCTGTCAGAGAGATTTCTCCATCCCTAATCATCTCGTGAAAATATTAAGTGTCTCATCTCTTGTGCTTCTGTATGTGTGTGTCCATGTATAGGTAACTCCTGGTTTTGTGGACAGTAGTTTGTATGGGTGCAATGACCCAAAATAAAATGTTAAAATTGTATTTTATAAATGGCTTTCATCTTGATGGGCTTTAAAGCAACTTTTTTTCCCCTATCAAGTTAGATTTCATAAGATAAGTTATGTGTGACCTATAGCCCAGTTTAAAAGATAGAAAGGTTTCTGTAATTGTCTTTCTAGCTTAGTAAATGAGAAAGTGGAGATGATGAAATGTATCATACGTCTGAGTTTATTTTTATTTTACTGATGAATAAATGTTTGAGCAATAGTTTGTGTGGTTAGTTTTGCTGGGTCTTTTCCCACTGGTTATTTTTAGAAGGGTTTTATTTGAATTTTCCATAAACAAGTGACAATGTCTTTGAGAGAGTCAAGGTGAAGGAGGTAATATCTTTTATTAGACCAACTTCTGATGAAGAGAGAGAGAAGCTTTTAAGCTTTTTTCTCTATGCAACATAGGTTGATCCAATTAAAGATTTTACCTCTCCCATCTTGTCTTTAATATCCTGGGACCAATATAGATAAGTCAACCATGCATATGTGTTTTTAGGAATTTGTCCCCAATAAAAATAAGAGCATGTCAGACCAGGTCTATACGAGACACTAAGGGTCAGCTTAAAATACGCAACTTGATCTACATAAATAACATAGTTGGAGTCGACATACCTTACGTCAAGCTTGGCACCATCATCAGAGTGAGAGGCCAACGGGAGCAAATGCTCCCATGAGCTTCCCTTATTCCTCACAACTGCTAGGAGTACTGGTGCCAATCAGGGAGACCCTCGGTGTTGAATTTAACATGTCTGTATTAGACCTGCTAAATAGAATACCAGAAGATCAATCTCCAGCATGACAAATGGAAACATGGCCTCAGTTTGCTCAAGAGTGGTCTTTTTTGTATCTAATGTTGATATTTTGGGGAGTCAAAAGTCAATAGTTTCCATGAGATCAAAAATACTGATTTTTTAAAAAATTGCTGGCTTAAATATGGCTCTTTCAAGTTGACACTTGCTATCTATAACTAAATTCAAGGTTGATTAGACAGAGTTACATGGTTACAAGTTAAGCTTTGCAGCAGGTTTGTTCACAGACCTTGGAGGGAGACATTGTAAGGCAGAGTTTTCACTGAAAAAATTTCAGCCTGCTACAAGTGGAAGCTAAAACTAACATGTTGGGGCAATGTCTATGTTGTCGTACTGTAAACGGACACAAAAGAGCTATGCTCATTTACACTCAAGAGACATTTGGCTCTCAATTTTTTAGTTGATTATTTTGTGGCTATAGTAGTTCCTCTCTTATACATGTATGCAAAATTATTTCCTCTCATGAGACCTTTGTATTACCTACCCGGAGTTAAGCATCAGCACCAACTCCCATTTCTTTGCTCCATTGGTCAGAGGGAATTGTTTTAGGTTTGCAAAATTTGGGGATATTAGATGTAATAAAATATAAAAGATTTCTCGGGATATATTGTGTAACTTTTTTAATGCATGGATAATCAACGTGACAAATCTTGGGCACCTTGGCCCAGAACTTAGGACCTAAATACCATCCTCCTGAATTGTTCTAGCAATATAGTCATTTTGCTATGTATAGAGTAGTTTTAACTTACTAAAGGAATGAGGTTTATGTTTCATGCACATGCCATACCTTTATCTACTTTGTTTAATATCTTTTGTAATGTCACTAAATAAAGCCTGGTCACATTTTCCAGTCTTCAGATTCCAGAACCAGTACTTTAGTTCCTTCTGCCACATAAATATATAAAGCAAACATGATGTTTTATGAAACGGAAATCTACATTGAACCTGTTTTCTCAGGGCCTTCCGATAATTTCAAGCAATTGTTCCTCAATAGTGTATTGTTTATTTTTCCAGAGCTGGAAGACCAGGGTTCTCATTATCTAACTTAAATTAGAGGAAATCACAGAATTGTGGCAAGTCAGAGTCTTGCTTAAAGATTAGCTCTAGTAATCTCCTGAAATTCATCCTATTTACATGCTGAATCATTTTTAATGGCAAGTAAGAAGCTTAACCCTGGTATGATTTCTCTATTAAAATGAGACAGAATGCAAGTTCTTGAAGAGGACAGTAAGGGCAATAACCAATTAGCTGTTAGCAAACCAAATAAATACATAGTGCCAGCGAACAAGCACTTGGCTCCAAAATAGAACCGAGACTGGTATACAGTGGATTATTTAAAGTTTTTGTTCCTTGCTAGGTGGAATAACTGTTTCTTTGCAGCTCTGATCTATTTGCAAGATTAGTCTGAACTGAAGACAGTTAATGCAAGCAAAGAAATAGTTTACAGAGCAGCTACAACTGCAGTGCCCAAGGTGGAGAAGTTCCAGAAGTTGTGAAATGGGTGAGTTGCATATGACTAGTGACACAGTCTTATAATAGCATCCTGATTCAAGCATTTGTTAGTAGTAGTAGGATATTTTTAAAGGGGGATTTTCCATGAGGGTAGGCATTTCTCCAACTTAAGCAAAGTGGGTCCAGACCTTACAAGGTAGGAGAACTATGGATTTTATAGAAATCTGTTTTTTTTTAATTATATAAGATCAGCTATCCATTAAAGTAGAGCTAAATGCTAATAATTCCAACTAATAATACAACTGTAATTTAATTTGTTCCAATTCACAACTCACCAGTCCAAAAGTATACACCGGATAATAGTCTGCAGTATAGGGAGGACTGAATTGCTTATTGAGGTTTGAACCATAATCCAAAGTTCTCACATTTAAACTAGTGGATCAAATTTGGTCTACTTCATAAACATCATCTGTTTTATACCATCACGTGTCCTGCAATGTCATGAATGAGACGAGAGCCCTAACTGTAGCGGGAAAACTGCTGATCTGCCAGCCTTTCCCAAAAACTCGCTAAATGAGTCCATGCAGTTCACTGATGCCAACCCACAAACAGGCTATTTACAGAGAATAGTGTGGGAGCTGCTGGTGTGTCCCCTTGTGCTTGTTTGTGGGTCGTGGGGCTAATTGGCTAAACCATGGGAACAGCAACTATTGTGCAGTAGCCAGGCTATTGTGCAATAAAGCAAAGGGAGTAGCTGGTGATCCCATGGCCCCTTCCTACGCATATTGCTCTGAGAAGCAATTCCAATGCTAAGTGGCGCAGAGGCATTAAGTATGGCCCAAGAAGGTACTGCTAGGGTAAAGTACAAATGGCTAAGTGAAGAAACTTTTTAAAACCCTATTGGGAGAGAGCCCGAAAGAGGAGCACTGATCGTTCATTACAGATCTAATGGCTGTAGAATGATGAGGCCATATAATGAAGTTTTTAAAATAAATAAATAAGTGGCTCTTTTGAATACATTAACATAAGAACGGCCATACTGGGTCAGACCAAAGGTCCAGCTAGCCCAGTATCCTGTCTGCTGACAGTGGCCAAAACCAGGTGCCCAAAAGAAATAAACAGAACAGGTAATAATCAAGTGATCCGTCCCCTGCCACCCATTCCCAGCTTCTGAAAAACAGAGGCTAGGGACATCATTTCTATCCATCTTGGCTCATAGCCATTGATGGAGCTATCCTCCATGTATTTATCTAGTTCTCTTTTAAACCCCATTAAAGTCCTGGTCTTCACAATATCCACTGTCAAGGAGTTCCATAGGTTGACTGTGCATGGTATGAAGAAATACTTCCTTTTCTTTGTTTTAAACCTGCTACCTATTAATTTCATGTGGTGATCCCTAGTTCTTATGTTATGGGAACAAGTAAATAACTTTTTTTAATTTACTTTTTCCACACTGGTCATGATTTCATAGACCTCTATCATATACTCCTCCCCTTAGTCTCCTCTTTTCTAAGCTGAAAAGTCCCAGTATCATTAATTTCTCCTCGTATGATACCCATTCCAAACCCCCTAATCATTTTTGTTGCCCTTTTCTGAACTTTTTTCATTGCCAAGATATTTTTTGAGGGATGAGCGGACCACATCTGCACACAGTATTCAAGATGTGGGCGTACCATTGATTTATATAGAGGCAATAAGATATTCTCAATCTTATTCTCTATCCCTTTGCTAATTATTCATAACATTCTGTTTGCCTTTTTAACTGCTGCTGAACATTGAGTGGGTGTTTTCAGAAAACTATCCACAATATTCCAAAATCTCTCTCGAGTGGTAATAGCTAATTTAGTCCCCATCATTTTATACATATAGTTGAGATTATGTTTTCCAATATGCATTACTTTGCATTTATCAACATTAACATGCATCGGCCATTTCATTGCCCATTCTTCATCTTCTTAATAAGGGTATCCATATAAGACCTGACTTGAGGCTCATTAAAGTCACTTGAAATGCTTCCATTGACTTCTGTGAACACTGGGCCACGCTCATATTCGGAAGTTGGTGAATTATATATTTTTGTCTTTACCATTCACTTTTAAAATGTGAATATAAATAAATCTTAGGGTCTTGTTGATGATAAACAACCTTCTTTGCTAGATCTCTGTCTGGTTCCTAGAAACTGTTAAATACAAAACAGTGTCTTACTATACAATGAAAGGTCAGAGTTCAAAAAACAGATCAACAGAAAATATGCAAATGAAAGTCCCTCATTAGCATATTTTTTGCCAAAAAAACTCGTAGCGTAGACATAGCCTCAGTGAATAACCCCTTCACCTGAGCAACATAAGTTACTAACATAAGCATCTGTGTGACAACGTTATGTTAGCAGAGAACGGCTACAATAGAGTGCTTACAGTGACACAGTTGCGTGGGCATAAGCTCTCTAGCGTAGCCATAGCCTGACGCCAGGTTTCCACGCCAGGGGAAGATCGACGCTGCCATGATCCATTTACCAGAGTTTGATTTAGCAGGTCTAGTTAAGACCTGCTAAATCGAACTCACAGGGTGCCCCTGTTGGTGGCCGGTACTCCTGCACCTATGTGGAGTAAGGGAAGCTGACAGGAGTGTTTGCTCCTGTTGGCCTCCCACTGAGGGGATAGTGGATAGTGGGGAAACTTGAATCAAGGTATGTGAACTAATTAATGTAGCTGGAGTTGCGTATCTTGATTTGACCTTCCCCTTTACTGTAGACCTGGCCTAATTTACAGCATCCTCCCTGGGACTGCCCTATGAGCTACAGTGCTGCATGTTATAGCTCCACTTGCCCCCGCTATCCCTCCCCACTCCGCTTTCTCCCTACTCAAGAGCCAGTGAGTGGATCCTCAGAGGGCAGCCTTAAAGCAGTCTTCCATAGTGTTTGTGTTGGAGAACTCTCTCCCAGCCATAACTAGGCCTCTCAGTGCCCCTTGAGACTGCTCCAGAAAATGTACAAGATGTCAGGGGTCCAGAAGGGTATGAGAAGCTCCCCCTTTTTCTCCCAGTCCTGTGTTTAGACTGGTAGATCACAAATCTTGCTGTCATGTTGCATCAGATGATCCACATTTCCAGATTTCCTTGAGGATCCCAGGAAGTATCTGTTAATTGCCCTGATGTTCTCCCCCTGGAATGAATACAGAGCAAAAGGAAAACGAACAATTGACAGTCAGTGTTTATAAAGACTTGGGTACAGCACTGATCTTCAGCCTAAACCAGGCATGTCCAAAGTCCGGCCCGCGGGCCAATTGCGGCCCGTGTTCCGGTTTAATATGGCCCCACGGGTAATTTGGCAATATCTATCTTTTATGGCCCCCAATGAATCCATATGTATTGAGATGAATACATTGTAAAATCTCAGTTAAAGTCAGTTGGTCTAAATCAGTTATAAATA